ATTTTGCCATCCACGATTAAAATATACCAAAGAGGAAAATATTTGCATAAATAATTGTAATTAGAAGGAGAGGTTGAAATCACTGTGAGAGTTTCCCATTCATTTAATAACTATTTCCTGAGTTCCTGCTCCTTGTCAGGCATCTCACTGCTGCTGTGGATTCCACCAGTACATATTCTATTGCAAATGACATGTGAACAATAACTGTACACCATGAAGATGCTGTAGTTGATTCATGTGTGTGAGATGCAGTGTGGCCCAAAGAATAAGTGACCACCTGTACCTGGGGGTGAGAGAAGTAACACTTGAACTTAGTGTTAAAAGGACCTGATCCAAGTTGCAGAGATATGAAGCAACATGTCAAACTCAGGAAAGCACAGAGAGTTTGATGTGGCTGACACATAGTGTGGCTCAAGACAATTAAACAAAGAAGTAAGAGAATCAGACTTGCATGTCAGTTGGGAGAACGTTTTCAGAAGATTGAAACTGTAATCAAGGATACTTCAGAGTTGGGGACTTTCCTAAAGGTGAAATCCTGAATTATAGATTATGATGAGGCTAGTATGGGACCCATGATAAGTATTGAAATGGTAAAAGTGAATCCTCAAGTGTCAATAATTCTAGTAACACTATTCTGTAAGATGGTGTATCGTAATCCCTAGTACAATTCAGGTCTTCCTCTCACTTATGTAAAATATAATTTAGTTTAGGTTTTTAAAAACTTTAAGTTCCTTCTCCATCAAAATGCTTGTAATAAGACTAGTTCCAGTGCTTACTAGAAGAGTATGTATAGACAAGTTGACTTCTCTCAACACAGATAAAACAAGATTTCCCATACTTCATGGGATTTGATTCTGAAATAGGAAAAATTCACATGAAAACATTTAAAAATATACAGTATAATGTAATAAGTTATTAGTATGCAAAGTTTAAATTAGAAAAAGTATATCATTTAAAATACGTAGGGCATTTTATTTGCATATCATTTTATAGACTTATTTCTTTGTCATGTCTCATCATCATTAAAATAAATATCATAGCTCACTGTGATATGTAATTCTATTTTCAAAAGGCATTTAAATCTCACCAATTGCAAAAATTCCAAATATTTGGGTTTAAAGGATTTGTTCAAGTAGTTTGACATAAAATAAAACTGATTGTCACTGAAATAAATAGTATGCATTTTATGTACTTACAAACAGGAAATAATATGTCAAAGTACAGAGGTCACTAACAAAATTCTCTCCAGAGGAGTAACATTGAGAAGTAATGGGAACCCATGTTTTATAGTGACCTTTTAAGCTATATTCATTCTGCTTAGAATCACGGTGAAGATTAAATATGTAATGATAATCTTTAATTGCATAAGAATCATGTTTTCTCTTTTTTATGAAAGTAAAAGATTCTCATAAAATTTTGATAGAAACATTTTTCTTTCCTCTTAACTTTGCAAAAATAAAGTGTGACACAAATGACAGCTTTGCTTTGCTTTTCATTTTTATTTATTTCTTTTTTGTCTGAGAAACATGAGAAAGGAGGTCTACATCAAACTAGAGAATGATGACCTTTCAAAAGAACAAGATTGAGAGCCAGTGTTGATAGAATGATGTTTTATGTAAAACCACAAATTTATGTTTTATGCAAATTTTCCTAATTTTAAACGTAAGTAACTGATTCAAATATTTGTAAAAATTTTGTGGGTCAAATTCAGCCTTCAGCCTGCTGGTTTGCAAAAAATATATCCTATTCTACATTTTTAAATTTGGAGGCATAAAATCAGTGTCCTAATCCTGCCTTTGCTATTTCCTAAACTCACTTAAAAACTTTGGCCACTCTGGGTCCAGGCCACCCAGCACAATGCCTGCTGGGAGCTGAGCAGAGGTGCGAGGACAAGAACGAGCCACTCCTTTCTGCAGTGACCTCCTGCTCCAACTCACTGCCCCCAAAATGGTGGTGGTTTGTGGACCTTTGTCTCATGGATTTAAGATCACCCTTTGAATGTGCCTGCCTAGCAAGCACAGGGTCCTGAGTTCAATCCCGTGTACCAAAAAAAAAAAAGCTCAGCCTTTGAAGACCCAAACTACAGCCATGAATGAAGAAAAACTGGATGGGACAAATGGATGCAGTGAAATTTGAACTGGTACTCAGAATGAAAGCATTGCCAGCTTTGATGGAAAAGACTAGTTACAACTTGCTTTGGGAAAATGGACATAAAAAATTTGATGGTCCTTCAGGTTGGGAAGATCCCCCTCCGCCTATAGGCTGTGAAGTTTTTGTAGGAAAAATAGCTCATGGTATGTATGAAGATGAGTTAGTTCCTGTACTCAAAAGAGCTGGGAAGATGTATGAATTTCAACCTATGATGGAATTTAGCAGTGAAAATAGAGGCTATGCTTTTGTGATGTACACTATGAAAGAAGAAGCCCAGTTGGCCATCAGAATATTGAAAGTATGACATTTGACCAGTGAGATTTATTGGTGTGTGTGTGTTTGTGTGTGTGTGTGTGTGTGTGTGTGTGTGTGTGACTTTGGATAATTGCAGCTTATTTATTGGAGCTACTCCAAAGGAAAAGAAGAAATTTGGGATGAAATGAAGAAAGTTGCAGAAGGAGTTACAGATGTCATTTTTTATCCTGGGGTAACTCATCAGACCAAAATTTGTGGTTCTGCTTTTGTTGAGTATATCTGTCACAGAGCTGCTGTGATGGCCAGGAGAAAATTAATCCTAGGAGCATTCAGGCTGCGGGGCCACACCGTTGAGGTGGTCTTCTCCATTGATTGTACCTTCTGAGGGAAATGCTCTGCCTTCAAATTTTATCCAATGAATTTCCTTCCCTCTTTGCTCTTTTCTCAAATATTATCTTCTCGATAAATCCTCTCAGGACCTATCTCTGCTACAAGCTGTCTCTTTTATACTACTGTCTTAGGGTTCTCTGGAGGAAAAGAATTGTGCAAAGAGTGCTTTTCTTATTAGGTTTACGATGTCCGAGGCAGAATACTTCAAAATGGTTATCCACATGCTAGAAAGCCAAAAACCTAGTAGCTTCTCAATGCAAGAAGTTGGAAGTCATAAAATAAGAGGAATCAAGGTTGTAGCACCATCCAAGACTGAAAGCCTAGAAGCTCCCTGGAGAGTCACTGGTGTAAATCCACACTAAAAGACTGAAGAAGCTGGAATCTGCTGTCCACAGGCAATGGCAGTGGTAAAAAGACCCACTTGCTCAAGAAAAATAGAGATTTTTCAACACAGGCCAGAATCTTTCTTTTCCATTCCATCCAGGCTGTAAGCTTATTGGATGGTGCTGCCCACAGTCAGGGTGGATCTTCCTCCCTCAGTTTACTGGCGTGCATGCCAATCATCTCTGAAAATTTCGCACAGAGACACCTAGAAATGTGCTTTACTAATCTGCTAGGTGTGTCTTAGTCCAGGCAAACTGATAATTAAGATTGTCACAACTACTCTGATTTCTATTTTTTCCAAAATATAGCCTTCTAACATAATAAAACTTATTCACTACATCTATTGCTTTGTAATGGTCTACCTTCATTAGTATATAAGCCCACAAAAGTAGGGATATTTGCTTAGTTTCCAAATATTCTGAGCAACTGGAATAGTTCCTGGTAGAGTGGCTGCTAGTAAAGTATTGGTAGAATAAAATAAATTAACTCTATGTCAATTTACCTCTGACTATCACTTACAGTACAAGGTCTAATGTGATTTTTACATTCTTCCTTATTGTAAGGCTGGACATAGATATAATGCATCATTTACACATGTAAATGTAGTAGAAAATAAACTCTGCATCATTAGTATAAAAATATATTAGATGGCTCTTTATCATTCTTAAATCACTGAGAGCAGGAAAATAAAGAGAGGAATTTCAGCAACTGGAACTGAGATGTTTGGGAGAGAAGGGTGGGTAATACAAAAGCCACACTGGCCAAATTTACAGCCTTAAGAAGATGTTTTTTAAATTACTGATTAAAATTGAAGCAAGTACCTTTTAGACCCTTTATGACTCTATAACTCCAAAATTGTTTTGACTGTACAAAAAACTCAGTGAACCAGTGGCTCAAGATTTGATTGCTCACTATTTTAATCATGACCCTCTAATCTGCATTTGCAGTTATTTCTGAAGACCGAGTTTCTTATCTCTTGCCCCCAATTCCTTCCAGACTTCCCCATATGGATAACCCACCATTGCCTAGAACTCAGTATGTCCAAATCACACTTCTGCCTATAAGCTTACATTCCATTCCTCCTCCTTTTACAGTGCCTTAGAGCTTGTTCTCTCTTCTTTCTCTGCTGCCTGAGCCACTCTCTGTACCTCTGCTTCCCCCTTCAAATTTCTTCTCACATTTTGTTCTCTCGTTTCCTTCTCACTGCTGTCACCCTGGATCGGACTGTCACTTCTTCACACTTTATTACTTGAGCAACACTGAAAATAGTTTTCCTGCCTCTCACCATATCTAAACTTTCCTCTTCATCAATCCTACATATAACCATTTGTTAATCTTCCTAAAATATACATAAATATTCTTAATGCCTCAGAATTTTCCAATGAGTACTGAGTACAGAATAAATTTTAATAAACAACCACACAACAAACCTACAGCCTGGCATCTAAGACCTTTCATGGTCCAGTCTGTTCAAGATAATCTCTTGTCTGCAAAAATCTCTCCTTCCTTTAGGATATATTCATCCTATTTGGGGAGCTTAATGCAAAAACATATTTTAAACAAGAAAAGTGGGAAGAAGTTCAGTTTAAGAAAATGTTTTAGGATTAAGGAGTGATTTCACATGGTACTTTGATAGTTATGACTGTAAGGAACTGAGACATCAGCCTTATTAGCCTCTTTTTTGTTGTGCAAATATAGTATCTTTCTTTGGTAAACCATCATCCTAGTAGCAAATGGCGAGTATCATACAATGAGAGTAAAAGAAATGGAAATCTTGAGTGGACCATCCAGTGAGCTCTGTTCTCCCCTTGTTCCTACAGGGAGCCCCGCAAAGTGGTCCTGCACAAAGGCTCCACAGGCCTGGGCTTCAACATTGTAGGTGGAGAAGACGGAGAAGGTATTTTTGTATCCTTCATTCTAGCTGGTGGACCAGCAGACCTGAGTGGGGAGCTCCAGAGAGGAGACCAGATCCTGTCGGTAAGTATTTCTCCTTAGTCTTCACTCCCTCCATGATTGTCTGGTCTGTACAAAAACTCAGTGAACTGGTTGCTCAAGACTTGATTACTCACTATTTTAATCCTGACCCTCAAATCTGCATTTGCAGTTGAACACATTATGGCTTCAGGTTCATTCTCATTTAAACAGTACTGCAGTGCTTGATGCTTCTTACTTTTACTTCCTTCAGTTAAAAATGAAAGTGCTAATGTTTTCTTTTTGATTTTCTGAGACATATTTGCATTCAGAACATTGAGGAGCATGCCTTTAAAAATGGTATATTACTTATTTTATAAAAATATAAAATTTTTCCCTATAGTTGTGATCATACTCTTAAAGATAACACCTTAACAATGTGTAAAGTTTCATATAACTATATAAGAAAATCCATAAAATAATCCTATACATAGTTTGCATTGTGATAATGATGATAAGTGGTAGCAGCTGCAACATTTGTCTAAGTGCAAAAATTACCAGCAACAATTTATTAAGCATTTATTAAGTCCATTTTTCTGACATAGGATTGATATACAAAGAACTGTACATATTTAATATGTACAACGTCATTACTATGATCTATGTCATGTTCATATTCATCATTTCTAAACGTTTCTCCTGACCCTCTTAATTTGTTATTGTGTGTGTTAAGAATATTTACATAACATCTAATATTTTAACAAAATTATAACTATGCAGTACACTGTTATTAACTATAGACACTGCATTACACAGTAGACCTCCATTATTTATTCATTTTGCATAACTATAAAAGTAATTTTTAACTCTCACAATCACCCTAAAATATATTGTCCCACGTTCAGATTAAGAGAATAAAGTTCTAAGAGATTAATTAATTTGTCAAAGTTTACTTGACTAGTTAATATGTACAATAAGTTTGGAAATAAAATCAAAGCTGAGATTTAAATGTTCAATGTTAATGGCCCATCACCCATGACTTTCCCTCCCCTCTTCCCTTTCACCTTCTCTTTTTCCTTATATTTTTCTTTCCATATTTTCTTTTATTTATTCAAATATTTGTTGACTATTTCTTTCTACTCAGTCATGCTACCTTCTTGGTATAATACATAGTAAAATCCATTTTGAGTTTTCATACCCATATTTAGAATTTTGGTAATCATGCAAATAATAGGGAATTACATAAGGAGCCCGGTTTGTAAGGCTGAAATGATGGTTCATAACTCGATGAAGCAAATAGTTTATGATTTTTATTGTAGACTTAGGAAACATTGTTTTTACTTTATAGTTATGATTTATAAATATAATTTTCTAAGTATCTTTAGAATTGTTAGCCGTTATTCTAATCCTTAAACAAATGAACATCTCTCTCTCCTTCCATCCCTCTCTCTGTCTGCCTCAACTCTGTCCATCTCTCTCTCTTTCACACAAACACACACACACACACACACACACACACACACACCATTTACCTAGCTAGTGCATGCTAATTGACCTGAGCAGAGACAGTGTCTAGCAGTCTGCATGTGTGGCTTCAGAATCTGTGTTCCTGTGGATGTTCCACATGTGAGGTCTCTGCACACTCGGCAGCTTGCAGATCTCTGGATTCTGGATATGGGAGAAATAAGAAAAGGTCCCATGCCAGGAACTGCCATCCAGGAGCTGAACTACTTCTTTGATATTTAAATGACATATAAAATATAACTGGCAGCTTTTAAACTTTATTGTCCATCTAGGTTTACATGTCTGTCTTTTTCTACTAAGCGATAAACTTCCTAAAAGAAAGTTCTCTGTTATATATGATTTTGTATCCTCAAAATTTAGCACAGTGCCTGGAACATACGATTTTTTTCATATATATGTCAGCCCTGGTGATCAAACCCCAGAACTTTTACACTGAGCTATAGATCTAGCCTTTTTTATTTTGAGACAGGATCTCACTTAGTTGCTAAGTTGCTTGGGCTGGGCTCAAACTTGCAATCCTCCTGCCTCAGCCTCCAAGAAGCCTAGATTATAAGCATGTGCCATCATACCTGGCTTCAAGAAATGTTTATTGAGTGAAAAATTATGGAATAAATGTGATGATACCTTAAGCAGTGACCATAGCCTGAGAGATAGACCTAAAAGTCAACCTAAGTCATACTAACATATGTTAGTCATCCCAGCTTAAAATCTGTACACTGGGGACCACTCTTGTCACTTGATCCCAGTCAGAATTCACATTGTCATAGCACATTCTCAGACGAAAAGCACCTTCACATGCATTAACGCTAGTTATTCTCTAAGAAATCTAAGCATCGGGTTAGTTTGTCATCAGTTCCATTTTCCAGATTAGGAAAAGGAGATTTGGAAAGGCCAAATGCCTTATCTAAAGCTTCACAACTACTGACTGTGAAGTGGGACTCAAAAACAGATCTCCTGCACCCAAGTCAGTTTTTTCTTCTCTACAGTTCTGTCAGCAGTCACTATTAAACACTTTGGTGCACACTGCCGTATAGAAGTGTAAAGAACTAATACTTGCATGGCACTGTGAAGTCAGTCGTTATCTATAACTAATTTAATCTCACAACAGCACTATGCCTTATGCTCAGTGGAAGGAGGAAGAAACTGAGGTACAGAGATGAAATTAGCCTCTCTACCTTTCTTTGAGTAAGAAATTCAGCAAGTTAGGCTCTGTTTTGACTTTCATACATGTAAGACAAAAAGGATAAGATAATAATATTCTATGTCTCAACTAAGAAAACTCACAAGTTATTTTTGTCTTCAAAAGTAGATGAATCCATTTCAATGTTATTACTGGAACCTATACAGCAAAGCAACCAACCAGAATTACAGTCTTCTTAGAGATTACATTTCACAAGGCTTAACAACAATCTCTGGAGCTCAAATAGCATATCCCTTTTTTATGTGCAACAGTTGCAAGGACGTTCAATGGTGAAAATCTTACCTGCTTTTTCCTCTGAAGGGAAAAGGGTACATTTTTCTATTTTAGCTTGCTATCTAGAAAGTGGCTAGTTTCAAAGCTAGACATTAGCCAACAAGTAGAGAAAAAGTAAATAGGCTTGAGAAGCTCAAACTTTACAAGATGGAAAGAAAAATGGCAGAATCTAATTATTAATAATGGCAGAGAAAGATAAAATATTTTGCATTGGTAGCTTGTGCTGGATATTAGGGACAAGCTGTACATTCTCAGAAAACACAAAGCAAAACCGCTAAATATCAATCAAAATTAATTACATGTTACCAAGCCATGCAAGGTTAATTTGCAGATAAGTCACGCTAACATAAATGTAGTAAGGGCAGACAAGGAAATAAAATCCCCAGGGTGAGAGCTGAGGGGATAGGTCTCTGCCCTCAATTGCTCTTCACAGATAAAAGACTAGTGTAATAGACAACTACCTTACTAATCAGGGCAGAATGCCCATTCCAGAGTTATCTTCCTATGACAACTATAGACTCTTCCTAAGTTATTTATCAATGTATTACTATGTGTGTCAGGTATCATACACACACACCAACATATGCAGACACATTATACACATTGAAAATAAGATAGCACTTAAGATAAAGCATGTAATATATTCATTCAATGTTGCTATTATTATTAACAATTTTGCCTTAAGAATGTATCTGATGTTTTTAAAAATATATATATGAGATAACCATATATAAAGAACTCTTGGGTAGTTTGGGCTGGTCCTACTTTGGGACAGGTCTTGGACTTGATCAACATTTCCCAAAATATGTTTCTCAGAACCCTGAAACAGCAGGGTTGTAGTATGTTGTTACTGTAAGGGATTCCTTGGTACCAAATTTCTTCATAGAAGAATTTCCTGAACTCATCTTTTTATCAGTGTGCATTGAGTATCTCTGGGAGGCAGAGAATGTATACTGTTTTCCTAAACGTATTTGACTGCCTAAATCTTATATAAGGAGTACCTCGCAGGACACAGTAGTGGGAAGTGCTTAAGTATTTTTACAGTTCCCATAACTTACCATTTCCTACACATTCTTGCCTACACAGAACAGGGAACTGACCTTTCACTTTGTTTTAAGATTATGAGCGCCATCTAGTGTCCTGTTATTGCCTAAACCCATTGCCCGGCAACCTGAGATAGAACCCGAGTTCTATTGCAGAGATTTGTCTCTGGCCTCCCTTGCTCCCCACCAGAACTCTAGTACAAAAGTAGTTAAGATGCCAAAAGATTTTTTAAAACAAATCATCACCTTAGGCTACATTCTATATGCGTATTGTGAGTGATCTTTTCACTCTAATTTCTCCTTTATGTATTGTGTCTTTGGGATTTGTTGTAGAAAGAAATCCAATAATTGAACCACCTTCTTGAGGTATTCATTGGGGAAAATTTAGGGCATCCAGCAGGCAATCCCATTAACTAGTGCAGTAGCTTCCTCGGGCATTCTTCCTGCAGAGCAAAAGATAGAAAAAATTTGTTATTATTTGTTTCAAACCTTTGTTATGAAAAATGTAGAAAACAGCACATAAAAGTAATATTTCTAGAAAGATTGCTTCCTGTTTCTCCAAGCAGTATGAGTTTATTCATTCCTTGGAGTCTAAAAAAGATTGCCCCAGCTGACTTACTGATTCCAAAGTTCCATCTGGATGGACTTTTAGTATTTAACTAAATGGGTTGCAAGGTGTGTGCTTAGGAATATGTATGGCCAGAAGTGAAATTCTACTGCTATTGAGGTAAAGGTACAACAGAAAATCATTAATCTTCAAATTAGGGCTTAAATTGCATTGTTGATTTTTTATTATTATATTTTATTAGTACATGTTTGCAGTACATGACATTCACATTTATCTTCAGGAGTGAGTACATGTACTTAACATATCTTGATTTGTTTAATCCCTTTTCCCTTCCCACCCTCCTCTCTTTGTCTGTAGATTCTCATTCCCTCTTTTTGCTATGATTATTATTATTTTTGGTCATGTTTGCAACATGATTGCATTTAACATAGCTAGCTGGTGCAGGTACCTGACACAC